TCTTTCTGCTCGGCCCACCAGAACTGCTGACTCAGGTCACCTGAAACAGACTGACTCAGCAGAACCTAAGAATGGAAGCCAGGGCAACAGTGAAAAACCCAAGAGTGAGTCACGGCAAGCGCTCAATGTAAGCTTATTAAATGGAAATGGAGAGACAAATATTTGGAAAAAGGTCTTTAGAAACTGATAAGACTTCAACAAGTTGAGGTTCTTTGAGGTCAGATGAGCGTTCCCTGCCTCTTTTATGTTCATTCATTCATGCGTGTTGGTGTGTGTGCGTTTAAATCTACGCCTCTGCTTCGATCAGTGCAAAAAAATTCATGGTTTCTTCTGCTTCTACTGGAAATCTGACTCACAAAAAAGTGACCAAAAGTAATTTAATCAAGGTTAATTTTAGATTATGTTTTTAAAAAATATTTATTTGAACAGTGGGAGAGGGAGAAGAACATATTTCCAATCTGCAGGTTCGCTTCTCAAATGCATGCAAAAGCCAGGACTGGGCCAGGGCAAAGCCAGCAGCCAAAAACTCAACCCAAGTCCCCTACATGGGTGGCAGGGATCAAACTAATTGAGCCATCACCCGCTGCCTCCCAGGGTGCACATTTGCCGGAAGGCGGAATCAGGGGCAGAGCTGGGGACTTGAACCCAGAAACTTCAATATGGGCTATGAGTGTCCCAAGCGGCGTATTCACTGTTGCATCAAACACCCACTTTTTTTAAGTACACATGAACCCAACCTCTGGGAAACCGAGTTCACGCCTCCTCTCTTCCTGAGACTCACCGAATTTGACCTGGACATGACATCCCATTGCTCCAGGTCAGACCAGACACCATGTGGCTATCATTACACCTGCCGAGAACTCGCCCTTAGAGAAGGTTTTTTGTGTTGTTGTTGTTGTGTTTTTTTTTTTGGCTTAGTCTTTGCAAATTAAAGCCCTCAGTCCCTCCCAGTCTGTATTCATCCTCAGAATCGCACATCTGCCAACAGATAAAGGAACGACAGCCCACCTCCACTCAAACAGACCCACTATTGCAGAGAAGGCAGTGACCAGACAGGACCCCTGGGGAGCTATGACTCAGTGACTCCCCAAATGATGTCATGACCCCATCAGGAGGAAAGACGTTGTCGCTCCCCCTCTTCGTGGAGG